CCCATAAGTATACTTTAAAATTACCATATCTATGATTAACAAACCGAAGAATAATTTACTAAAGTTAGCTTTGGCTCATATTGGTGCTTTGTGTTTACATTATGGTTACTAATCATGTTTTCTATGTATCTTTACACTGTTAAAACTGGTTGAAAATTAACAATAAAATGTGCGAAAGTGCTTTAGATCAATTGAGACCTTTGTTTAATTTCAAAACAATATTCTTTTAAAACATGCGCCTCTTTATACCAATCCCAAAAACAGTCTATTTTTACACCGAATATGATTTTTATTCTATGATCAATATTTAAAAAAAAATCATGTACATTGTAATTGTTCAAATGATATAAATGGTAATTCTCTTTTATATACTTGTATTTCTACAGTTCCCACTCCATCCTATGAAATTGGGGGATTTGGCGGAGGCGGTGGCCATCACGCTGGATACGGAGCTGCCCCACGATACAGCAGTTTTGGTTACGCCGCAGCCAAGGTGCTCGCTGGGGGATGTCCTTATGGTTGGAGTCCTTATCATGGAAGCTGTTATTACTTCAGTCGAGACAAGCTCTCATGGTGGCAAGCCGAGGTAATATTTTTAGTCAGAATTATGTTTAGAGTCAACTAATTCTGATTTTGAACACAAAAGAAACAATGCTCTTTGAACTCAGGTTATTTAAGTGTACAACTTACAGTATGGTACAACTTCGCAGTACATGTAAATTAATTGCCTTTCAGATAAATTCATTATTTAATAGGTCTGAAGCCGATTTGTAACAGTTTTTTAATATCATAGCATGTTTTCCTTTAATATTATATGTAAAATGACGAGGTATAGAAAAATATTCCTCTTTCCGTAGATGAAATGTGCTAGTCAGGGAGGGTATCTCGTTATCGTGGATGCAGCTCACGAAAACTCCTTTATTCGGCGCTATTTGGCCGAATACAGAGGTATGTCTGAATTCTGCATGTCTCTCCAGTTTTGCATAAAAAGATAGAAGATATGAAAATTCAACTCCAGTCTGAAGCAGTAAAATATCCGTGCTAATTTGGTATCTCTCGTTTGATACCATGAAAACTGTCTTATCCGATACCTTTGCAATCCGTTTCACTGTGAATTCCGTCCTTGATTTTCATTCCAATGTTTATTCACACTGTGTAATCTGACTCCCTGTCTATTCTGACACAAAATTTGTCTCCCAGTGCACGTCGGATTAGACATGTTTTACAGTTCTATTTTACAGTTACTGGTGGGGCTTGGTTTGGTCTGAACGATTGTCTGTTTCCAAACAAACACCGATGGATCTGGGGATTTAGCAAGAAGAGATGCCATAAGTTTGACTGGTATGGACAGGAACCAATTTATCATGCCAAAGGTGACTGGAATTGTGGTGCATTCTGGGAAACTTATCAGTATCACTGGCATGTTGATAGCTGTGCGCAGAGGAATTACTATGTCTGCGAAATGAAACTGGTATTGCTGAAATTTTTCTTTTATCCATAACTTAACCTTATATAGATTTATCTGTATTGTAAATGCATTTGTGTACATTTTAAGAGACACACACACAAGTTTAATTACGGCAAAATTCATGCACTTGTCTGTTTATTCAAATACTTTATTTTTTTTCATTTGACGGTCAAAATAATGTTGTTTTTTTTATGTTAATCATGAATGAAAAAAAAAAAACAAAAAACAAAAAAAAAAAACAACAAAAAAAGCAAAAACAAAACAAAAACCGAAAAAAAAAATTGGAATTATTTTGTTATTTATATATTTATTCTTTTTGTTGCTTTTAGGGCAAACCATGCAGATGCCAGTATTAAATTCTTCCCCATATTTTGTAAAATTAATTGAAGTAAACATTAAATTCTCATTTGAGTATAATTCATGTATTTCTAGAAAAGTGTGCATATGAGAAGAATAATACTCCTGCTGTGGCGTTCAATTCAAAATCTCGATATATCGAAATTTAATTCAATTTATAATATAGGTTTTCATTTAAATGGCAACTCGATATATCCCAGAGAACAGGTGAACTCGAATGAAATATGAAGATAACGAACAGTATTCAATCTCGAAAGTCCAATGAAACGATAAAAATTTGGAGCAAAGCAAACACGGACCTCAAAATTTAGAGATGGAATCAGGTGCCATGGAGGAGTGAGCATCTCCTGCCGACGGGTCACACCCACCGTGTACTCCTTGTCATGATCGGGAAACAAAAACTCGAAAATCCGTAGACAATTTAGTGTATAAATAATGGCCTAACAATTAGTATGAAAAACGTTAGTCAGCATTTGACTCAGTGATAGGTTGTATGTGCTGACAAGGTCATTGTATCGACCAAAAACCTTGCAAAAAGATGACTTCAAACGAGACTGTTGATATACTTGTTTCTTCAACTTGTTTGTCCATAGCTTGCCTCGTTTTAGAAATTGATCATACGTAGAGCATGCTCTTGCGTATCGAATCAACTGAGAGACATTAACCCCATATGCTGGTGATAAGGGTATATTGCTACATAAGTAAGAGAAGTTGACGATTGAAAAGTTGAAGTCATCACGTTTATCATAAAGCTTTGTTGTTAGGTAACCATTAACGTTTTTTTCTAGTAAATTATCTAAATATGAAACAGATGTGTCAGAATCTGTGGTATCTTTTATTTCAAGCTCTCTGGGATATATCGACATATGAATGAATGTAACTATTGTTAATTGATAATACGTCGTCGATATATCGAAATGTCGAGTTGAATGCCACAGCAAGTGTTTTCTTCTTCTCATGTAGAAGTTTTTGAATAAATTCTGCTTCATAAGAATACAAAAATAGGTCTGCTAATAAGGGGGTGCAATGAAAGACACTGCAGAATCTGCCAAATTCTTTTTCATATTTGCCCAACTAACAATACATTATATGACAAACGAGATGACTTTCTTAATCATCAGTCTACCATAATTATGTAGTAATATTCCACACTCAACCGCTTATGGTGTTTATGTCTCCCAAACTGATTCGTTACTCAAGAGCAATTTTTAAATCAAGGCAGACTACTGACAATCAAATTGATGTTACAAGGTTTTCAACGATCTCTTTAAAGTCAAATTCTATGGTCGTTATTGTGACTTTGTATATAAATACTAGCTATTGTTGGATCGTATTTTAACTGACATGTCCCCATCAATTGTTAGGGCACCTGTTTTTATATTAATTTGACTGTGGATTACTCCATTCACCTGATCAATACAGAGAACTTATCGTGTGTGTGGGACCGCTTAACAAGGAATACTTATTCCCCATAGGTACCTTTCACACCTCTGGTGTTTCCAGGGGTCTGTGTATTTTGCCCTGCTCACGATTCTCTACTGGATTGTTGAGTGCATCACTTTTCCATATGTTCAATTAGTTATAGAGTTAATAAAACAATAATTTTAGCTAAACAAAATTTCAAAATTTCAAATTTGTTCTTATTTTTAAAAGCAATTTTAAAAGAGTGCGAATATTTTGCTAGTAAATGTATTATATGTCTGCATTAAATTGTGGTTCAGTAGGTTTGAATTAAAGCGAAAAGTAGTCATATTAAGATAAAAACAAGCCTCTTTTCTTCACTAATGTAATTCTAAATGCCTGCATTAGCTCTGCAAAAGACTTGTTTATAATGATTTCATGACATACTGCATTACTTTGATTTTCCATCAATTTTTTGTTTTACATGTAATACTGAAAATGATAGTGCTTTGGTTATAATGAAGTCTTTGATATGCTCTGAAATTCTGACAGTCGCCGTTCCACGACTTCAAAACTTCCGAGCGTATCAAAGACCCGATTTTAATCAAATTGAGTGCTTCTGTACTCTATCTAATTCTGAGAGCTTTAATGAACACTTCCTCGTTTTTAGTCTCACGCTTTATAAAGGTACATATTTACCCATCTGACAATCTTTCAAACTGTACGTCTCTATCAAGCAAATAATTGATTCTCATTATGAAATTCAGTAAAATTTGGTCTTTTTAGAATATAAAAAACAAACGGTATCAGATAGATATGACTTCCCCTTTATGACATATATACTTTAAGGAGACTCTTCCTGGAGGTTAATGATGTACATTTTGTAAGGTAAGTGATATACTTGTAATTACAGTTTGATGAAATATCAATTAATGATCAAATCAGCATTCAGAAGATCTAATTTATGGAAACAACAAGGGACAAAAAGTATTGAACACCTTTTGTAAAATCTCAGAGGAACTGCAGAAATTACTCATTTTATTTTATTGGCATTTATGTTTCTCTTGGGACTTCAAATGCATTATTTGCTTATTTTTACCTGGTTGGACTGGAAATTTTTATATCATTAACCTGCAATGAAAAGCTCCTTACATACTTAATTATCATAAAATCGAAGAGAAAAATAGAAATTTAAATTGCTGCACCATCTGTAGCATCATTGTTCTGCAATGATAAATTCAGAAGGGTGACGAATCCGTATAAAAGTAAAAGTTGGTTCGATTATATTAATTTCTAGCGTCCAACATGATTTGTCTTCAAATTTTGTACCTGGTGTCGGTAGCAGTAGTAGGTAAGACGTTTCAAAATTTAACGAAGTTCTTTAAATTTGAATTTACTCTTGATAATAAAATATTTACAGAAAAATATTTTATTCATTATTTATACCTTTGTATAAAATAATTTTCTCAATGTTCCAAAAACATATTGAGTTAGTGTATAGAAAGCCCTTTATTGTTCTTTTAAAACTTATTAATGAAATACAACTAATATTTATTTAAGGATTTGCTGTTCTTATATATTACATTTCGTTTTTATAGAAAGCTTACGGTTTGTTCACTTCGTACATAGAAATATTCAAATTTTAATCAAACAAATGAAAATGAGGAAATTTACAATTTCACTGAACATCACCCTCATATATCTTCGGCAGGAAAAAATATTCGTTTTCTTGAAATATTATACCTATATATACATTAAAATTATAAAATATATAATGGGTAAGAACAGATATAGAAAATTTTAAAAAAATGCATATGATATTCAAAATTACAAATTTTATATTTTACCCAAGTCATTGTCGTATGACAAATTCTAATCATTTGATGTTACAGTGGATGCGACTGTTGGTGCAGACTATTCAGCGGGAGTTTTAGGAGGAACTGGATTACGTATGTATTTGTAATATGTACCGAAATGGTAATAAATAAGCAAGAAGCAGTACGCGTGTATGTAAGCACAACAGCAAAAAAATCTTTTCTTGATTAAGAACTTCATAATTTCTTTGGTTTCAAATTTTCCGTTGTTGATTACATCATTTTGTAGAATTATATTAAAAGATAAACATTTTAATGCCTTTTTTTTAAAGTAAATATTGAAAATAGATCCTTATTTTAAACTCTGGCTGGATACCCTAGTGGTAAATTCATTATTTGAAAATTTTGCTCTCTTTTTTACGAAAGAGAAATGATGTAATTAAGTGTGTATATAATACCAATATAAAAATATCTTCAATTGTAGTTTTAGTTATTTAGGCATTCAGAACTTGCTTGGTTTCAAATGAAAATAAATCTCTTTTTACCGTCGTTGACAATTAGGTTTCCTAGACTTATAGTAATTGATAAATATTCCAATTAATTAGCTCCAAATACACGAGTCTTTTCTTTAAATTACAAAATCTATCAAAGATGAAAATAGTGAAGATAACGGAAAGTAATCGATTTCATAGTTCCAGTAAGCAATACAAATCATGAACAGAGCAAAACCTCGGACCCCTGGATACACCAGAGGTGTGAACAAGTGCCTTGGATAGAAAGCATCTCTTGTCGACAGCCCATATCGCAGTGAACCCTTTGTATTGATCAGACGGAGTAATTCGTAGTCAAAATAAAGGTTAAAACAATGGTCTAACAATTGGTATGAAACATGTAAGTCAAAAGATGACCCAATGATAGATTGTATTTGCAAACAACTCATCATATCAAGCATAGAATTTACAATATACTTACGTTAAACGAGGTTATTTAAAGGTCTATCATCAAATTATTTTTCGGTAGCTTGTCCAAGTCTTAAAATTGTTCGTATTCTGGTGATGCCTTTCAGTTAGAAGACATGAACACCATATGCAGATGACATAGGAATATATACTACATAAACTTTGGAAGTTGAACTTTGAATACAATTTTGCTTCATAAGAATATAAAAACAGGTTGGATAACAAAGGGTTACAATTAGAATCCATTAGAATTCCAACAGATTGTTGGTAGACCTGACCTTCAGATACTACATAGATATTGTCAATGAGGAACTCCAGCATCGTGACACAATATAATACAAACAAGCTTTTTTCCCTAAAAATCATGAAAATAACGACAAAACTATGTTTATATAAGTAAAATGAAAAATTCTAACACCATTTTCATTCTAGGTTTCACAATAATGTCCTTCAAAGTGAAAAAAAAAGTTGTATAGATTTATAAAGGTGATGGCAAAAAGGTAGAAATTTGAACATCATAGAACGTCTACAATTTCTTAGTATTTTAGAAATTACATATTTTCATCATTTACAATCAAAATTGTCAAAAAATATTTATCAATTTAGGCATCCAATTTTTGGTTTATAATCATCTGTTCTTAATATCATCTTCAGAGTCCTTGTGTTGATGCAGAGTGATTTTTAACAAAGTAACTCTGTAAACGACCAATCACTAGATATGAGTTCCATTTTTATCAATAGAGCAGTTGTCTATTGTGTCAAAAAGCCTAGCTTTTAATTAGCAAGGAATGCATTAATTGTAGCTGTATAAAACGTAAAAAGAAACGTACCTTTTGATATTTAATTTTGGTAAAATAAAATTAGAAGTTTTGTTTTGAAAAGACTTGGTTTTGAAAAATTTCATTCTGTGAGAATAAGCTGGATTATTAGAGACGGAATTCAAGCCTAGTTCTTCTAAAAAGTGGTTGTAATAATTAGTCCTACAAAAGGATTACATTGTTTCAGGCTTTGTCAGCTGGAACCATAACACATTGTTATATAGTCTTTCTAATTCATTTATTACTTCCAATTTATTGAAAACGGATGGAGAGATTAGTTTTGAACCATCACTTAAAAATGATGTGAACACATTAATAATTTACTTGTAGCTAGCAGTAAATTCATTATTTCAAGATTTTTAACAATTAAGTTTTTGATTAAAGAGAAACTATGCAATAAAATATCATTATTGATCTTTAAGTCATTTCAACGTTTCCCAAAAGGCATTTATAAAGTAATTTATTAAGTTTTATTACGTAAAGCACTGGATCATACGTCTCAAATGTCAGATGTTTTCATTCCCTCTAACACAAGCCATAAAACAGAGTATAAGATACTCTGGTTTCCCAGTGGACATTTCGACGATTTATTTTTTAGCTAAAACAATGAAAATTGAATGACAGGCATTTTTGATTAACATATATATCATTGGACACAAAAGAATAAGAATAATACAAAGTCGCTTGACTTTTTTTGATTTATAACATCCCTTGTCGATTTAAATTGGTCAAATATCAGTACACTTTTCGGTTACAATAGCATGGTTTCCTTGCCCTTTGTGAAAGAAAAAACATTGAATAGAAGAACTTGGCAATAACAAAACTTACAATGAAAGTAATCTAATCTGACATGCGCTGGGCAGATGACTTGTGTCGGAATAGACAGACTTTGGTATTGCACAATTTAAAGTACATGGAAAATAGGAAGTGGAAATCGTGGTCAGAATTCACAGTGCAACGAAATGTAAAGGTATCAGATTAAACAATTTCTACTGAATATTAATATTCATTTTTTAATTTGATAAATAATATACAATTATGGACTCTTTAAATTGTTAACACAAAATTCAATATCGATATTCTTCTCGTGAATATACAGCCATATTCACCAACTTAAAGAGACCATAGGTTTTATTATATAGTCCGGTATTAAATGTGTAATAAAAAAAATGGGACTGCATGACGACGCCATTTCCATTTACGAACTTTTGTCACAAAAATATTTTCAAAAAAATGCAGATTACAAGTTATAACTTGTTTTCCTTTCCCAGTGTTTAAGACATCATTTCCCGTCGAAATGTATACTAGTAGATGAAAATTTTATACGGTACCAATTTTGATGCACCAGTGGCCCGTAGCAACAGTTTCAAAACTGACCAAAAGTGGGTGGGAGGAATTCCAAAAATTATCTGAGAAGCATAAAAAAAGTTAATTTACCGTCCAAATCCTGGAATTTGTCATGCAGTGCTCAATCTTACAACATCAAAAATTGAGGGAGGGGGGACAACCAGGATCTAAAGGAAAATTTACTATAGCAAAATTCTATACTCAGAAAAAAGTTGGAGGCCGGGCACCCTCCCCCCCCCCCCTCCCCCATGTTTTACGGTCTTGCACCAGATGCGCGTATCGACAAATTATGTCTCTTCAGTGACGCTCATGCCGAAACGTTGGAAATCCGAAATATTTAAATAAAAAAAACTTCGAAGAGCTGAAAAGGAAGGGGGGAGCAAAGACTGGAGCCAAAAACGTCAAAGGATCACAGCTATGCATGAGAGAGATAATCCTTGATTTTGAAATAAATTTCTAAATTCTACCACAGCAATTAAATATATATATATATCCGTATTTTCAAGCTAGTACCGAAGTACTTACCTACTGGGCTGTAGAGGCCCTCGGGGACTAACAGTCCACCAGCAGAGGCCCCGATCCAGGGGTGTATATTGATATATATCGGATATATCGGCACATCATAATTACACTTGATATGCTTCAAGTGAAAGTATCAGAAAATATATACTAATAATGATAAGACTTTTTAAAAGTAGTACATTATTAAAATAAAAATGCAAGAAGGCAACGTTAGAAATATATTGACTATTGATGAAAATGCTCTATGTTCTAAAAATTGTTGAGCGTCACTTCATATTTAGATATTATACTAGACAAACACACAGATGGCAAACGGAGAACTCATCTTAACTTCATGATATACATGATGGCTTACACTTTTCTGTTGTCAACTTCCCTTTTTAGCAATATACCATTTTTACCTGCATACGGGGTTTATGTATCCCAGTTTATTCGATACACAAGAGCATCTTCTTTGTATGAACAAATTTCTAAAACAAAGCTGACTACTGACAAATACGTTAATGTTGCAGTATTGTCAACAGTCAGCATATTGCAAATTCTATGGTTGATACGATGAACGTGTTTACAAATACAGTCTGTCGTTAGATGGAATGTTGATTAACATCTTTCATACAAATTGTTATGCCATTCATAATGATTTATCCGTTTACCCGATCATAACAATGGGAACATAGTGGGTCTGACCGGTCGACAGGGATGCTTACTCCTCCATGGCACTTAGTGGCGATCTCTGATGTTTTTAAAGGTTCGTGTTTGTTCTGTTTATACAATTTGTATTGTTCCATTGGCTTTTTGCGGATGAATACTGTTTGTTATCTTCAAAATTCATTCATTTAACAGACTCCTTATTAACAAATGGTCCTGCAATCTCCGAACCACAGCATCAAAATCCAGACACCCCTACTGGTCCAGGGTATGCCTCAGCAGCATCAATGGGTGTGTCTCCAAAAAAGAGGGAATATGAGATGTTTGGGCATGCCGATCCCCACCGAGGTCCTGATGCATGCCCATACGGGTGGTTTAGTTACGAAAACAGTTGCTATATGTTAAGTAGTGACGAAAAACCCTGGGTCAACGCAGCTGTAAGTTTTACATTGCATTTTTGTATATGTAATATTTTCCTTTTTTTATAGAAAGACTCATATCATTTCTTGTTCTGTTCATCACATATATACATAGCTGACGTTGAACATTTGGTAAAACGGTCAATTGTCCTTTTCCAGATACAATGTGCTAGTATGAAATCCCATTTAGCTTGTATTGAAAGTGCTGATGAGAATTCCTTCCTTCGTGAACTGCTGATAGCTATGGGAGGTATATTCCTAAACTCTATCATAGTATTTATAAGTCAGATGATAATACTTACAGTAGAGAAAATTTAATTCATAAATCACTCAGAATTATAATATAATTAAAATTTATCCCATGTTTACCCCTTTATCCCGTGGATATGACTCATTGGATAATTTTTTCATAATCCACAGTTGTGACGTCACAATGGTTTTTGCGTTAGCGCGATGAAGTAAAATAAAGTGGAGTCCTATATAAAAAAGTGTAATACATTGGTTGTGAAGTATTAAACATGGGATAAAAAGAATCTCCCATGATTTGTAGTTGGATATGACTTTTATCCAACTCGTTGTGTGTTTTTATCCCCTCGCCAAGGCTCGGGGATAAAAAACACACAACTCGTTGGATAAAAATCATATCCAACTACAAATCATGGGAGATCCTATATATATAAGCTAACATTATATCATATGAAATCAGAGATGATAAAATTGCCCAAGGATTTTATGTCTTCAATTTTGTAGATTTGTTTGGAACTGATTTTTAAAGACCTTAATGGTGTTTTAGCTTCCACTTGAATTGATTTCATGACTCAAAAATAAATATTTATCACTCATGGTCTTTCAGTCGATAGAGGGGCATGGCATGGTCTGAACGAACTACTTCACCCTGGCCAGGAGACGTATGGGTGGGGGCTGACACAGCAGGCATGTACAAAGTACGATTGGTACGGGGGTGAGCCTGTGAGTCCGGCCTCGGGGGAATACCTGTGTGGCATGTTTTTTCAAGCATATCACTACCACTGGCATTTAGGAAACTGCAATCAGCCGAACAGATATATATGTGAAATGAAAAAGGTAGATCTGCAATGTCAACTGTATTATTTGTTGGAATTTTGGTAATTCAGATAATACAAAAATCAAAATCAAAGCAAATAAACTCAGAAAACAAGCAATTTAGCTTTGCTTTGTACACCAACAACTACTTCTAAAGGAAAATTTCTTTTAATGACAGATAAATCAGTTTTAAAAGAATTATAACTCCCATTGTGAACTGATTGTGAAATTTAATTTGTGTTAAACGCTCAATACATCAATTTCATAATTTGCACATTAGGTATGAAACCTCCCGGAAAAACTCCACACCAAAATAATGATCAGATCAGATTATAGTTTATACATGATTACCTTCTGTCTTCTAATAAACTATTTTTGAATTAAAAATCGATTTAGAGTTACGTTTCTTTTTCTTTTCAGGGAAAGCCTTGCGAGTGTCAGCTTTAGATATAACATGCAGTATAAAATGGATCCACAGTATTCAAGGGGAGACATTATTTATGTACATGATCGGGAACCTTTTTATAACATGAATAAGCAGGATATATATATTGTAGCCATTTTTATTTGTTTAGCTTACTGACATATTATATATTTCTTAATTTTATTTCAAAAAGCATGATTATTTCCTGCTTTGAACGTACATGTATTGTGTTGTATAATTATATGGACGGATTGGAATAAGTTCCTCGTTTCTTGCTTGTGGATATAGAGGAAACAAATGAAAAGTTTCATTCTTCTTCTAATGCTTTTTAAATATACAAAAGTAATTACAATTTGCTTGATCTCTACATTTCACTTCAATTTACTACTGCCCCTCAAAACGTAGACCTTATTTTTATGGTTAAAGATCTATCATTGATATATACCAATCAGAGGCGCTGTGGACAGAACCATAAAGAGGTTGCAGTCCTCACTTCTGGGATAATCAACGATCCATGGTCCAAATAACAAAGATTATATCGGTTAAAAAATACGTATTTTCAAAGTGTGTCAGTTTACAGGTTTACGTAACCATTTGGAGGAGATAAACAAAGATAATGTACAATTCTTTGTATTCTGATATCTGAGCGATAACAGTGATAACCGCTATACAGGGCATAAAATATTTAGTTATCAGCAATGCAATTAAACAATGACTCAGTTCTGTAATCTTAATTTATACATATGAAAAGTATGACATCATTAAATTTAAAGATAACAAACAGTAATCAAGCTCAAAATCAAATAAAATAATACAAATTGAGAGAGGGCAAACACGGATCCCAGGAAAACCAGGGTTTATCAGGTGTCAAGGAGGAATAAGCATCCCTTGTCGACTGGTCAAACCCAATCATTTTGTCTCGATCCGGTAAACAAAGAAATTTGTAGACAATTCTATATGAAAACAATGGCCTAATAATTGGCTAGAAAATTGTCATTCAACATTGGACTCGACAATAAGTTTCATTTGCAATTACACTAGGTCATTGCGACGACAATAGAATTTGCAAACTTTTGACTTCACATGAGAATAATGATAACCCTCTTACATCAAATTATTTGTCAGTAGTTTGCCTCGGTTAGGAATCCGATCGTTCGCATAATATGTTCTTGCGCATCAAATATTAATCAAATGCGGGACATAATTATTACTACCTTAATGATCATATGCAGATGATGACGGTTAATTGTTTATCATAATGTTTGTTAGTGTGCAATCAATTTCTTTCTCTAGTAGAACATCCAGGTATGAAAAAGATGTCAGACTCTGTGTTTTCTATCATTTCGAGTTCTGTGGGATATATCAAATCAATGTATGAATGAAAATAAATGTTGTTTGTTTTAATTGACTAAACGTCGTCGATAGATCCATGCCTAACTGAAGGCCACAGCAAGATGCTGACTGTTTGCAAAATATATGTGCAGGTCTAGCTTATATTGAAATAGTGCTAAGTTTTAAAATTTGCTAAAATTTTTTGGATTTTTTTTTCTTCTTGGATTTCAAATCAAATCTATTCTCGAATATGATGTAGCACAGTATTCCTGAAGTTTCTCCTTCACTGTTGCTAATATTTTTGTGAGAAGTAAAGATAGAGTCTTCGTCGAGCATTTACTGGATCCCATTTTGCAGTTTTGTTTGTAAAGAATTTTATAAAATGTTGGACTAACATATGATTTTGTGTGATCTCTTTCTTTGCAAAGGAACCGGAAGTGTAAGTTAGATTACTGTTTAGAATTAAGTTCTTTTAAAATGATACTGTAATACGGAGTCTCACAACAAAGATCATAATTAGGTACGTGTACATAGTTTGACAGCTGGAACCAGCACATAGTGATTATATCATGTATTGAATCAACGAAGACAGAAGGATACATAGTACCCATTTACTCACTCAAATGTTTTATATAGGATTTCAATATCAATCTCAAACTTAAAAAAAAAATCTATTTTGAAAATGTAAAAAGATCTTGTCTGTCGATTTATCTGGCATAATCCTCGACAAAATTTATTACCGCGATGAAATTCTGCTGCCATTTGACAGAATGGGGCTCTCTATATTTGAGTGATTTAAGATCCTTATTCTTATCATATATCCAATTAGAAGTGTTCGACTACCTGCACTTTGCTACTTTGGAAGTTCAGAGTCACCCTCTCAGTATCAAAATAGTTTGACATCGAGTTTCGAAACTTCCGTGTTTATTGTGTTTGGTTCAAGACTGACGTTAGTTTATTACTGTTTGGTACATTTCGTTAATAGATTAAAGCTTCGTAAAAGGTTTCACTCTTGAAATAATCAAATGAAGGTTTTTGAAAAATATTTATTATTTTACTGAACACTAGTACAAGGATCGTTCAATAAGTAACGCAAAAGGTCATCATAATATCTTTTTAAAAAAAAGCACAAAAAGCAGTTCCTTAATATATCTCATCCTTTAAAGTATTCCCTGTTAACCTTTACTCAAGTCTCTTTACCCATAACAGGAACACCTCAGCATATTTTTTTTTTTTGGGGGGGGGGGGGGGGGAGTAACCCAAAAGACACTGATGGATAGCACTCCCCACGACCGATCTAAAATACTAGCGTCTTCCTTGAAATAAAAGATACCACAGAGTTTGACACATCTGTTTCATATTTGGATATTTTACTAGAAAAAGATGTTAATGGTAATCTAACAACCAAGCTTTATGATAAACGTGATGACTTTAACTTTTCAATCGTCAACTTCCCTTACTTATGCAGCAATACACCTTCATCATCTGCATATGGGGTTTATATCTCTCAGTTGATTCGATACACAAGAGCATGATCTACGTATGAACAATTTCTAAAACGAGGTAAGTAATTGACAAAGAAGTTGATAAAACAAGAATATCAGCAGTCTCGTTCAAAGTCGTCATTTCGTAAGTTCTATGGTCGATACAATGACCTTGTCAGCAAATACAATTTATCATTAAGTCAAATGCTGACTGACGTTTTTCATACTATAATTGTTAGGCCATTATTTACACACGGAACTGTCGACGGATTTTTCCGTTATTACCCGATCATGACAAGGAGCACTCGGCGGATGTGACCGGTCGACAGGGGATGCTCACTCCTCCATGGCACCTGATCCCACCTCTGATGTTTTAGAGGTCCGTGTTTGCTCTGCTACAAAATTTGTACTGTTTAATGGACTTTTGAGCTTGAATACTGTTCGTCATCTCCATACATATCATTTGATGGTTTTCTAGAGTATTTGGAATAAGAAAATGTCACAATGACTGTGATCTAGCATCTAGCAAATACGGAGGATGGCTATGCCCTGTAAACGTTCCTTTTTGCCAAAATGCCCTTTACATCTCTATGTCTTTTTGCAGTAGCGTTGTCAGCTATAAGAAACTCAGTCTGGGTACCGGTATTTGAACTTCTCTTACAGAAAATATGCTTATCTTTCCTCAATACAATTTTAACGTAAAAGCTACCATTGATGGTCCTTCTTTTGGGTGCAGGTACATGTATTACATGAGAGTGAAATAAAAGGGCAGAGTAATTTTGAGAAACTTTTCGTTGTTGGTTTTGAAGTTTCAATGTTGTTAAGCGTGCTCCGATGTGACAAAACATGTTGCTTTTAAAATTGAGTAACATGTGTTGCATCTTATCAAATCGAATGAAACTTCACATATCAACAAAATAAATGTTTTTACATTTGAAAATGTGTTGATCTTAAATCTTGTAAAAATAATAAGGCGATGAGGGGCATTGTCTAAGTATTTTTGAATTACTCTCGTAGAACTTCTAGTGCGAAAAAATAGAATTAACTGCTTCTACATTTATTATGATAAACCGTATGTTGCATTACTTATTGAACGACCCTCGTATCGTATGTTTCGGGCAGGACAAAATTGTTCGTTTTATCTCAAATATTGCATATATATGTAAAATATAGTTTAGGGGCATAATGAATAAGAAAAAATATTTTTAAAAAAAACTTGGAAAAAAATATATCATGTTCAAAATTTTAAAAAAAAAAATCAAAAAATGCTAATACGCAACGTAGTTTCGATCATTAATTTCTTATTCCCCGAATAATTTAAGAGTTCCAATAGTTGAAGGACCTTTGTGCCATTAAATGATTTGTGGTAATGCCGTACACCTCCTTTGAATCAATATATAGGAAATACTAGCTAAACTATATTTTTGTCAATTTTTCTTTAAAAACACAAGGATAATCATCATTTTACATCTGTTCAAAACTCAGAGTTATTTAAGATGATTTTGTTTGGTTAAGAATATCTGATGGTACTATGAATTTAAATTAAGAATATCTTGGAAAATTAACATTAGATAGGTACATTGAAGAGTACATGCACGTACACTGCGTATGTCCTTAAAGCATTTGTTTGTTAATTTAGGGATAACGGTTGCAATCATTGTTTACGAGGGCTCAAAGTAGTACATACACGCATACTCTGTTTCTGTAAATTCTTTGTCAGCATTTTCATTTCTTTAAAAAATTCCTTGTAATTTTTAAGGACTACAAATTCTTTTAGACATCATAAGCATGCGAGGCACCCATTCGATAGCAATTTTCTTCAAATCTGCTTTCTACGTCAGAATTCTATGAACTGTTTTTTGTGTCTTAGCAATGTTTTTCATGAAGTGCAAATCTAACGTCTTCATATATTATATTGCACGTGAACAACACCGATATTTTTCTGTTTCGTTAGAGATGTCGGTCGACCAGGTCGACTGCCATCTTTTAATTTTTTCACTTTTAAATGTTTTAATCCATTTTGGTGCAATACTTTGTAAAAGACTAGCATTTTAATATACCTGTATCAAAATAATATCTTTATATGTGTCTTTAGAGATTTTTTTGTAATGAGGCCCAGATGTTTATACACTTCCATCGTTTATCTGTTGAAAACTCTTCTTTTCTGGTTAATATTGATCATGGATATGATTCTTGACTAAAAATGGATCACTGTGATTATGTCGGTGGAAAAAAATGAATATGCTGTATCACTTTATTCGTTGACTTTATTATTTTATATATACAAATGAAATATTTCAAAAGGAACTAAAGCAAATAAAACATTATTACGATAAGATAAATGCATAAAATATATGCACATATTATGCATAATCTGATATTAAAGTGATAGCAGCAATCATGATAAAATACAAGACAAGAAAATTCAGTATATGTTGAGCATCAACACTAAATTTAACTACATGTATGTCATAATTTTCAAACACGTGAAAAGGGGTGGTATAGTGATTTCATGAGGAGCTTCCGACTTCTTGCCTTCTATAGCAGGTAAGTGTCACTCTCATCAGCATGATTTGACGTCGAGATACATAACATATCCGAGGGTTTGTCCCAGAAAAAACGCAAATTTTTTCAATATTTTTATCTCACTTAAATTTTAAAGTTAAAAATTGTCATGCATAATAAGTAACATTTTTTTCATTCTACAAATATATATATATCCTTAAATAACATTTTTATGCCCCCCCCCCCGTAATCGAGAAGAATCGGGGCATATAGCTTTAGATCTGTCCATCTGTCTGTCTGTCCGTACCTTTTGAATGGTTGGTTCTAGGGCTTTCATATTTTACATGTTTTCCTTGTGATAAAACCTTTCTTTGGATGGCAACATATTTGACCTGTTGACCTTGGCGTTTGACCTACTTTTGCAAAATTTACCAAACTTTGACCTTGGCCATAACTTTTGAAAGGTTGGAGCTAGTGCTTTACATTTCACATGTGTTTTTCATGTATCTAGATCTTTCTTTGCTTACCAACAATTTTTACCTTTCCACCTTGACCTTTGAGTTTGACCTACTTTTAAAAAACTTTAACTTTTGCCATAACTATTGAACGGTTGGTGCTAGGACTTTCATATATCACAAGTGTATTTCTTGTGTCAAAACCTTTCTTTGGGTACCAACATTTTTGACATCATAACCTTGACCTAGCTTGGAGTTTGATGTACATTTGAAAAAAAAAAACGTTAACCTTGCCTATAACTTTTGAACAGTTGATGCAGGGGCTTTCATATTTCACTTATGACAAGAGCATTCCTTTGGTACACGACGACATCAAAACGTAGTTCGTGGCGTTAATAAAGTTTGTGAAATTGAATCAGGAATTGTGCTCTTCTCTTTCAAAATTCGCCTGAGCACCGACCATCAATATTAATACATGTAATACCAGTTCCATATCAAATGGCATTAAACCTCATAATACTATATGTATGTCAAAATAAAAATATCATTTTCCAACAATGTGTAAAAAATGATTAATTTTGGTCAAGTATTTTATACAATATTTAAAAAGTTCGCATTTTTTTCTGGGACAATCCTCATTGTCTAAAGTGTGTTGGCTCAAAACGATTGAGGAAATTTTGGAAAAGTATGAATGAACATAGCTCATATATATGAACAATGAACAGATATCTACGCGGGTTAAAAAAAGGTATCTTTAAAAAATGCTGAGTCCATTTTAGCAGATGAAATTTACAGGATTTTTATTTCATTCTGAATTCATAGCAATATATTTTGTAAATGTTGTCCAAGATTTTTATTTAACTTGGATATGATGATGCACCTCATTTAAACAGCACTGAGAATTTCTAACAGCATACAAAATTAAACTTTTAAGAATAAAATAATTGACCCCATTTAAACAGGAATATATAATAATACCTTGATAACGACAGTACTTATAATGTTTATTCATGTTGATAATGGGTATGGAGTAGTTCTTACTGTTTGTCCTGGAATATCGCCACTTAAGGAAAATCTAAAACAGTGCACGTGTACATTCAAGAGTTCTTACTCCGTGGTATTTTTATGCAGTTAAAGTGCATGGTCTGTCCTTTGATTTACACAGTAATTGACACAATTTGAAAAAGATGCAAGTATTCCACTTAATATCATATCAAGCCAAGATGAAGTATTTTCCCAGTGTAAGTAAACTACAGTGATTTCTGTTCAGTAGTACTTCACTGACTTGAACAATTCATCCTGAGGAAATATGGCAGATGCGCTATGTTAAAAATGAACTAGATAATTATAAACTCAGTATGATATATATTTGATTTGATTTAAACATATTTTATCGATACATAATCAATGGGATTGGACACAAGTTATTCCAACTTAGATTGTCCTCTCTAGGCCCAAAACACATTTTTATTGGTGTTTATATAAAGCTTCCTTAAAATAGTTTTTTTGAAATAATTTCTTATAAAATCAAAGTAAATTAAATGATGATAAATATAATAAGAGGTACTGTGAGCACTGAGCTCACAAAATGATACCCCTGCTCCCATTGGAGTATAATGGCAAAGTCCTTTTTGCCATGGGACCCCCCTCCCCCCCCCCCCCAAAAAAAAAATAAAATAAGAAATGGCACTATGTAATAAAGATTCTGTGAGAGTCTCATCAAATTTTGTTCTGTTATATAGGAGGAGTTGAGAATAAGAGATGGGTACCCACTTTATTATAGAAAGAATGGTATAATGTCCATTTTTTGCTATGGTAAACCCCAAATATCTGTCTAATTAAAATGTAAAATAGCACAATGGCACTATATGTAAAAAAAAAAAAAAAAAGATTCTGTGAAAGTCTCACTTACTTTTATTCAGTGGTATAGGGGGTCTCAGGAGTTGCAGATAAAGGATGGATACCCCCAAATGTTATAGAAAGAGTGACTGTGTTCCAACTAATTTACAACAATGGGACTATGTAATGAAGATTCTGTGAGAATTTGTGAATCTGTGAGAATGACGTGCGGACGGAATGACTATATACCCCGGTTTTCAAATGGGGGCGGGGGGGGGGGAGGGGGTATAAAAATAAATTCATAGTTAATGCAGGGTATTCAGGTATACAAGCCTAGTGGTATTAGAGGGAGGGAAAACGAACGGGAAAAACTCCTATAATTTGATTTGAAAATAAATGGAAATTGAAGTACCAAGTTTCTTGCATCCTAAAATTAGCATTAGACACCATGCACCACTAACTTCCAAATTAACTTAATTTTTTAGTTACAAAAAACGATTTTTATTATCTATGGGCAGATCACTGAGTGCAAATGTTTGTTTGTTGTTTAACGTCCCTCTGGAGAATTTCTCACTCATATGGAGACCCCACCACTTGCCGGTGGAGGGCTGCAAATTTTGACCTATACTCGGCACTGAGGGCCATTGAGCAGTGGGGGATCTTTTTCCTGCCAGCACCTACTGCGACACGTGGCCTCGATTTATACGGTCTCATCCGAAGGACCGGTCTCCACGTACTGTAGTGGATTCGAACCCTCGACGTAAGGACCAACTCCTTACATCGCGACTCTACAGCAAACGCTCTAACCACTGCGCCACGCGGGCGACGTGAAATCGCGACTATCTTATCTACATGCTGTAAAGTAACTTCCCTTGAGTGTTCTCTTTTTCATGTTTACAACGGGGAAAAAAAGAGACGATGAATAATATTACATTTTACAATGTTCAGCTTTTTCAGAAATAAGGGAAAAAAATATTTAGATATTAGATACTTTAGCATACCACATGTTGTGAAATTCTACGGACTCACATCAATTAAATTCAAACGTTAAATCTTTCAGAAAATAATTAAAATTTGATCAGTATTCTCTGTGAATAGGGTATCAAATAATTAACTGGAAAATATATCAATACTTCACCCAAAAATGTATACACTTTATACATGTGTAAGTGAATACTGCGTCTCAAGGACACATAACAAGTGACAGACAGGGTTAAAACCTATAAAACACCAAAGAACCATTTTTAAATTGGTTATGTTGTCCTAATTTTTTTTTATTATTAAATCCGCTTAGTCTTTCAAAGACTTTCTAAAACAAAATTCGTCAGCTCATGTTGGTTGCTGCTCTTGAGTTGTGATCTATGTGAGCAGATCAGAGGATATGCTGTTTTATCAGATTGCTAAAACATCCACCTACACCTCTTTCAACCACAAGACCTGCAGCTCATCCAAAAGATGATACACCTAATGTTCACTTTAAAAGGAAACATAATATTATTAGATAAAACTTTATTAATAAAATGTACAATCAGTGAGCACCTTGCTGTGAACAGGAATTACAAAAAAATATGGATCTCTTGGAGTTTTAAAAATGTAACCAGCAGCTAATTTACACCATCCCATCCTAACTTTTCTAATAATAAACAAATTACTACTTTAAAGCAATGGATAAACAAAAATAATGATTTTTATAATCCGAAATATTACCCAAAGATATTCTTCATCTGCTGGTTACATTTATTAAAAAAAAAATATACAATTTTGGTACATGAAATAACAATAAATGTGGCAGGATTAGAATTAACAATGAAGTCAAAATAATACATATCATCAATCATATACCATTTATGAAACTATTCCATATTTCTTTTTTCTGTGTGAAAAGCAGCCCATTTTGCATTCAAGAAAATATAAGCAATTAACAAGATGAAAAGGAAAAATGTGAAAAAGTATAATATGAAAAAATGATACATGTATGTTTAAAAATTAAACAAAAAACTTCTATGTTATACTAGAGATACTTTTATTGGCAACAATTATGTCCCTTCCTTAGCAGTGAACATTAAATCTTGCAACAAATTCAATTTTATACATACAAGTATATCTATATTTATCTCAGCATTCAATATGGAAAATGATTTGAATGATATGCACTATGAGTGACAAATTATATATCTATACAAATTATTTCTCCTCATTGCAAGGTTTTGATTCAATCACACATACAAACGCACAAACAAACATACATTATCACATATAGAAAAGGGAAGAGGAGATCCCAATAATACCTTACACAATTGCAGGTTTGGTGACAGGACATCAAGAGATATAGAGAACACAAATACACACTCATTTGCAGACTATTTAAGGCATTATTTAATAGCATGAAATAATACTGGCACTCGTATTACAGTTACATTACACAATTAAACTACAAATGTTTCAGACTAAGAACAAAAAAGCATTAATCTATAAACTCTATGCAATAACCAGTGAAAGAGTAGTCAGTTCTATCCCAAGAAGTTATTATCAAATAAAGTAAAGAGAATAGAAAGAAAGCAAGTTGTAGAAATTCTGCATGCAGTCCACTGATTCACCACTCCTAAGTCACACTATTGCACTGTCCGAGGCTGTTATAAGCTGTCGTGTTAAAACGCTGAGAGGCTCATACTCTTCTTCATGTTTTTCCCGAGGAGGCGATTGTTCCGAGGCACTGCTGATGGAACACTGTCTACTTTGAATGCACGGAAAGGTCTTGGTATGCACTTTGTTGCCTCTAGAAGTTTTCTAAGAAAGAAAATGACAGTAATGAGATTATAAATTTTACCATATCAATGTAAGGAAGCAAAATTATTCCATGAAATAAAAGTTTAATTATTTCAATAGTCTCAAATTGATAATTTTTACTCATAACATGCATTATAATTTGTAATCTTAGATCAGTAAGCAAGTTTCAATAAAAAAGATTCTGGAATAATTTTCTCACCTTGAAAGCTCTTCATTTTTAAGTCTTTCTTCGTTAAGTTCTTTGCGTAACTGGGCTCGGGATCTTTTGGCCTGCGGACAGAGGGCTGGGTGATGTGTGATAGCCATCGCTGATGGACGGCAGCTAGGGTCTGGATGTACCATACTCTAGTTAAAGAAAATTAAAAAGTCCGTTAAAAAATTAATCTTCACCTTCTGTGATTAAAACACAAACATTTCACTCAAGTTATATGAAAAATCAGCATGTTGATGCTGTTTCACCAATTTTTTTTTTTTCAAATTTTACTTTATACACTGTGATGAATATCCAATACATTTAAACCTGACACTCTTATATCAATATACATAAATAATCAATCCTTTTTTAAGAGATAATTCTAATTTCCCTACCCAATGTTTGAAATAACCATGCGCCCGATCGCCTAGATGCACAAATTTTGCAGCGAGCGAACAAATTTACATGTACTGAAGCCTGGCTGGACATGTTAAAATTTTTGATAATTAAAATTCATGTATTTTATAAATCTCTTTCATATCAACTAATAGTATCGGTAGCAAAGACTAACAAGTCAAGAGGAAGAATTCATCAGTCTATAGATTAGTTATGGTGACTTAGTCACAAAATCGTTAAAAACAAATTTATGAAAGACAATTATTTCTCAGGCTAGTAGATCTTTGGCAAGGATGAAAACTTTTACTAGCAGTCAGTCCTGTATGTCTGGCTAATTTTGCAATGAGTTTCAAACACTGCCCTATCGAAAGATTGCCTTCTTGTTTTAAACTTTAATTTACCTTCAATAAATCATTGATTTCTGCGGAGTACTGTGGAATATCTTTAAGTTCCCCTCTTCTGATGGCATGCCATTCCTCCCCATTCTTTGGTAAATGACAACCAGTTCCCTGGAATAGTTAAAATATTCATAACTTAGGAATGGAAAATAGGGTTATTTAATAACTTCACAGGCCTCAACATTAACGTTCTCTAACCGTCTGTGTCCAGTTCATTGTGATATGACAAGCAAATCTCCAGACACATCTGATCGGACAAGTCACCATCAGGGAATTTTGTGAACATGAAAAATAATCCCATCATGTTAATGTTTTTATTTTCATGTTAAACAAATCATTACGATTTACAACTACTTTTTCTTGAAAATAACTTTGTACAAATTTTTAATATCTTGTCCGAGTCAGAGAGGTACACAAAGAATTCAGACAAGTAACATTTGTTGGCAACTTGACTTGTCTAATGGACAAGTGAGAATTTTAGTGAACGTTGAGCCCTGCTTCACTGATACAACATCCTTTAAAGATTAAATCAATCAGAACTTGAAAAAGAATATTAAGAATATCAATATAATTCATCTATAAAGTGTTAAGAAATATGACACAAACTAAAACATTTTCTATGTAACGTCACTTAGTTGAACAAAATAAACACAAGACAACCATGGATACTCACAGTCTCATACATCGTGACTCCAAGAGAGAACACATCAGCTTTAGTCAGGTGATCAAAATCATCATTCAGAATTTCCTTGGGCAGATATCGGCAGTCTCCGTCTTCTACTGTAGGATTACTAACAGAGGTCACATGGCCTAGGTCCCCTATTCATCAAAAACCACTGTAAACTTACAATTCTTCATCTTATGTCATTAATATATTAACAATCTTCAGTCTTGTTCTGTGTTTCTGTACTTGCTGACAGAGTAAAACTAAAAAGATAGGTTATAAATGATACCAGCTGTCTGATTCTAAACTGATAAACAGCAAGATACTGTAGATTGGCAGATAATCACGATGGTTTTAATTTCACTATGTTCGCTATTCATCATTTTCCTGTGAAATTAAACCATCGTGAATGCTATCATAAGTTTTTAAAAACGTTTAAATGCTTATACAAAATTTAAATTAATTTCTTGCAGCGTGAAATTTAAACCATCGCGATTGGTACTTCTTGAGAAATCGTGAAATTTTTACACCGTGGAATTAAAACGACTTACAGTATCATTTTGTATTAAGACTCTACATGACATTTTCTGTTTTAAACTATCAGACTGAATAAAACCGTTCTTTTTTAAGAAATTAACCTTACCTATTTTGTAGATAATTGCTGGTGATTCCTCAACCTCTTCATCCTCAAATTCATCACAGGACTCCATTCCACTCTCTGGTGAGCGCAAGAATTTCTCATTTCTGTGAATGAAGATGTTTCCTGCAATAAAAACATGAAATCTGATTAAAAAATATCTTTTTACAACTTAAAAACTTTACACACCAAATAATTCCAGATTTCATATCATGCATGAAAACATGCAAATTTATGCAGTATCCATAACAATTGCTTTTGATCTGTATTTGCAATTTCAATTTACTTTATTAAGAACATTTTAAACACAATTTAAAATCTAAACATTTAAATTGTTTAAATTGATGACTGAAGACAAGAGTGGCCTCTAACCTGGTTTGATGTCTAGGTGAACTAGATTCTGTGAATGAATCAGTCGGAGGCCTTGTGCTACGTGTAGGAGCACCTGTTTGAAGTCACTCTCACTCATGTGTGTCCCTGTTCTTCTGTTACTCTCCAAAACTTCACTCAGACTGCCTCCTACAATTACACAGTTTAAATCATCATAGGCAATAATCACATGGTTTCACTCTGAATTTTTTTTAACAATAGGAAAAGTGGGGATAAAATAGAGATATTTAACATTGATTTTTTTCTACCCAATAGAAATGATTCCTGAACTGATTCAATTGGGAAAAATGGCGTCGAAATAAAACAAAGGGGAATTTTCTATCATATCAAGAAATGAAATTTATTTCATGCTTTTTATAACCTCATTAACTATTAATCGAACAATCAACAAGTATTCATTGTTTTATATATTAATATCTGTTGTTCTCATATTTTTGTGCTTTCAAGTTGTCAATGATGACAAGACACTAGGCTCTCTTCAACCTGCCTCCCACCATAGGTTTTAAAACTTATCTCTTCTTTTGATTTAAGAGGAAGTGAAAAATTTAAGTTTTGTACAAAGTTTCACATGAAAAGAATTAAATATGTCATTGCAGTCTGTTCCTCAGCAGTTGAATGGGGAATTTTTAGTCTGAAAATTGGGAAAAAATAATATTTTTTGTGCATTGGGAATGATTCCATTTATCAGTATCAGTTATAAAAGGAAAAAAATGCTGAGATGGCAACATCACTGTTCACTTGAAATGGCCGTTTTCTATCATTCAAGACTTGGCATAAAGTTAATACTTCTGAAGACTGCAGATTGACATATGTCAGGGACTATTGGACAAATATTCAAAACTTCCTCTGGTCCGACAGAACCTATGACTTCATCAGACCAAATATCTGACAGTAATTTCAAAATTTTGACAACCCTGTGATTGTGATTTCGAAACTAAAAAAACAAAACAAATCCAAAAAATCGAAATAAGAAAAGTTGAGAGTCTTACCATTGCAGTACTCGTTCTGGATGTACATGTAGTCATCTTCTGCCCAGGCCGAGTAGTACCTCACAACATGTTGGTGGATCCCTAGCACAGCGTGGGCGTACACCTCATTCATGGCATTTCTCCTATAATTGTGACGTACAAATGAAAAAATGTTACAACTATGCTATGTCCTAAACTGTATCACAACTGTGGAGGTGATCCCCCCAAACAAATACACATACACAAAAAATTAGTCCTTGGTTTTAACTTGTGGAAATGATTATCACCTCTAAAGTTATAACTTTTTTAATACATTGAATTCTAATATTATCTATGTAATCTTACTGTTTGATGGTGTCTATTATTACATTTGAATTACATTTGAATTTGAATTACATTTCTTTAAAAAAAAGAAAAGAAACTGACATCATGGTCAAAAGACCACTTACTCATAAACACTTCCTGCCACTGGGGTCTTTGATTTTTTAATGGCATAAGTACAGCCATCCAGTCGATGTACACATTTAAACACACTGCCATACTCCCCATCCCCAAGCTTACAAACTTCATAGAATTCTTCATTGTATCTGGAGGTGTTGATCTCATGCAATGCAATTTTCTGTAAAAATAAGCAAATCAATTTTTGAAAATGATTGCGATATTGGGTAGGCTGTCATACATGGACACCTAGATTCCAAAGCACCTGTGACACCTAATGTGCAGTTTTTTCCCCCCCAAGTATTCATGGTAAGCAAACACTTTGATCAATAATACTTGAGTTGTTGTCTAGTTCATGTAGCCATGCAGAAACTATGACCTGTCTCCATCAAGCAGGTGACATGCTTGTTGGATCATACTAAAATTTCCTTTAAGGAAAAACAAACAGCAGGTGAAGCTATGTTAAAAGTTCAACACAATTGTGAAAAACTGTGGTGTGCACAAACATCTTTGACCTTCGATCACCTGCTACAGGCACCTGTTGGTTAAGGTCAAGGTAACTGAATTTGAACTCATACATGATACTTGTCATCTGCTGTCTACAAATGCTGTCATTATTTGGACTAGTGGCTCATTCATCTAAGACTCATTAAAATAAATTTTCATCCATTGCTGTCTTTTTTAACTTTAATTGATAAACAAGTGTTATCAAGATTCAGTCATCAACTTGCAATTTGGTCCCATTATCGAGATTGAATGATAGGAAAAGAAATTGAAAGATTAAGTTTATTGAGCCATTAATGGAAATCAATAAAGCTACCTTTGTTGACGGGATGTCTATCTCTATTTCATCAGCTGAATCTTCCAACAAGCTCCTAAAAATCAAAATCAACATCAATTAAAAGTGTAAGCGAAAAAACTATTATTGATCAGATTTCAAATTCAAGAGTATTTCTTATTTTATCCCAACATATTTAATATCATAAAAATTAAGCTAGTACAATGTGAATATTATATTACAGTCTAAATTTATTAAAATAGGCTACAGATCATATATGAAAAGTCATATTGAGATTGTTAAGCATATATCACACTGTTGGTTGTGATAGAAATGTTTGGACAGAGTACAGACAAAGTGATGGTGACCCTCACCTCCATCCACCCAATGGATCAACATTACAGGAGGTCGTAGGCGGTTGTCATTCATTTCATGACTGATGATGACTCATATTTCTATAAAAAGAAATGAATAGAAAATGTACTTACTTTTCAAACTGTGATCTGTTTCTTTTGCCACAATATGTGACTGATCCTGGCCTGTTATTATTGGGGGTGAAAGGGTTGAAATTGGCCTCTACCCGCTCTTCTTTAACTTCTGTTGGGCGGCGTCTTCTAGCCTTCTGTAGAAGTGATTTTGGTGTGTGGGGTGTGTCAAAAAGTCTTAACGCTCTCAAGCGCCTGTGGGGTGGGGATACAGGGCATGCGGGTGAGGAAAACTCCGTCCCAGGGGCAGGAACTCTCTGTTCTGAGGCTTCGTCAATATCGCCCTCGTGACCCTCGTCTTGATACGCTGCGAACGGAATCGGTGAATGTCTTTTGGATTTCAGGGGTCTCCTTCTTGGCCTAGGGCTGGGACACGGAGATGAGGGTGGTAAATCCATTTCAAAAAATCCCGAAGACTGATCTTCCATTCTGTCCGAATTGTTGGCGTATGGCGACGATAACGGACTTGAACCATTCACTGAAATGTCGCCATCATGTTCATGTGGGCTTAACTCACCGTCCGAATCAACATATGTCAAAGTTCGTATGATATTATCATTCCTTTCCTTCATTACACTTTGTTTTCCCTTTCCGAGTCTCTTCGAGACCGACATTTTCACACCTAGCTTTTCACCGATCAATCTAGCTACAGTACCTTTTGAATTTTACTGATCACACACAAAAGTGACGATTACATAGCGTACGCCAATGTAATTTGTGATTTGGCGGGTCCGTTAGCCACGTGATATTTTGAGCCAATGAGATGCAAGGGATCGATTGTTAGAAAATTATATTCTGTATCAAAAAAGTAAATAGGTATAGTCTTTTCTATATGTGCTTAGTTAAAAGCTACTATCCGGTGAAAATTAAAACATGCTTTAAAAGATATCTTTGATAAAATTTACCACAAGAAAAGGAACAATATTTCTTCAATTTCTGATTGAAGACAGAAAATTTATGTCTCTGATAATTCTAATTTATTAATTAACAAGATGAATAAATATTTCATGAGCTGGATGATTTTAGAATGGCGTTCAAATGAAATAATTTTTTCCACTTGTCCAAATATTTCACGATTATAAGACGTTTATTATCATTTTTGGATAATAATAATAATAATGATAGAAAGACATTTATTATCATTCTGTCATAAACGTGCAGTTGGCGTTGATTACGAGTTCACTTAAATTTCTTGCAACAAGTATTTAAAGAATCAATTTCTTTGTATATTATAAATATTTATTTTCAAATAAAAACACATAAAGGATAAATAAACAAATTAGACGGTCTACAATTATCCTATAGCAAAGCCAGTATTCATACGATATTTAGTAGGTAAAATTTATATGCATGAGAAAATCAAAAATGGGAAACTGTTAGATTGTTCACATTTTTCTGTTGTCTTCAATCTTTGACTCTAGATAGCAAAAAGGAATGATTACTCTTCTCAATGTTTAGTTAGTCGGATTAAATTTTATATCCTGGTATTTTAGCGTATATTAATCCCTTACACACATATCAAACTGGCGCTGATCTGTGTCAAAAATTCACACAATCAGGAGGGGGGTAATTAAACATTTCTAATACTGACATAAAATTAATAACATACATCTTGTCGAATAAAAATTATTCACAATAAATAAAATATGAATAAAGTAAGATACATGTAAAATAAATTGATGTGCTATTTTGGTATAACGTTTTCTTTATGAGCAACTAAAATATAAATGCAGTTTAGATAAAATGAATTAGTTTAAAAGGGGGTATATAGTAGTTTAATTTATACTTTTAATTATTTTCAATACCTGTTTTATAAAATTTCAAAATCTTCTTTCAGAAAGGGGATCGAGGATTCTATCACATTAAAAAAAAAATATTAATCACTTTGTATGTAACACAAAATTGTTTTTTTTTGGAGGGCAATCTCCCTCTCTCTCTCTCTCTGATATAGAAATTCAAAGCCATTGTGTAATAATGCAAAATACATGTACATGAAGTATAGCACAGTGCGGCTTCTTTTACATTATTATCTTAATTAAGGCTATCAAAGGATCGAGGTGTATTTTGACTGTCTGTATTTACACTGCCTCATCACTGAACAAACATTCAGTTAAGTCTTTATGTCCTTGTCTTCTAATGGTAACACACAAAAAATTCTTTTGATCATCAGAATACGCAATCAAAGGCCATTCATGGACAAATAACTAGATAAGCAATATAGTGTATATATATCCTTATGATTGTTTATCAAACCAATAAACAACTTTATAAACTAACACGCTATTTTGTTAATCTTTTGACTTTATCCTATGTCCATCCCTATGAGTACTATTCTTGCAAGCAAACAAAAATCAACCATAATTCAAATTTACATGTAAAAGTTGACTTCAAAATAATTTCCGATTAGTAAATTTTATCAAATTTTAAAATCATATTTTATTTAATATTATTTTTTTAAAATAACTTATTCATTTTTGATTTTTATCTGCCCATGTAAATTTTTGTGTGACATGTTTAATGGTTATGAAAAGAAGTGATTTAAATACACGGAAATAATGCAAGGTTGTCAATTTATCTTGTGGTAATATGAAATTAAGCACGTAAAGCAGGTACGATTCTAATTGATTCGATTCTTTTTTTTCCAACCCGTGTGAAAATAAATTTGCCTTTTCTCACTTTGTTATTGAAGCTTGTGACATGATAACGGTGTTTTGATTGCAATTATCGGTCAAGGTAGAGACATGGGGTGTCATAATTTTATTATCCCCAGGGCATATATTAGCGGTAAACCCATGGGGAAAATGGTTGTGTGAAAGTTAATTTTTACTGACATTAATTATAAACAAATTTCTAATAATTACCGTTAAATTAATTGCGCTAAATTGAACGTGAGTGCATGCATTTAATTTGTTTTTCTTCCCTTATAATTTGAGTGTCCTTGTAGAAGAAGGCTAGGTATTGAATAAGTTATCGCGCTTTGAGCGGTCATATTGTGAAAAGGTGCAAAAGGCAGATTTTTTTTATGGAAAGAGGAAATGTCAGACCTGTATGACTGACAAATTCGGCGTGAACTTGTCAAATGTTTACAATCATGACGTAAATTCTATAATCGGAACCTAAACTAATGCCCAGTTATACAAATGAGTCTAGACAAACAAATCACAATCCGACCGGGGTCCTAAAATTGTAAATATATAGGTTTTTTTTAATTGTTGATGAAAATCTTACTATATTAAAAAAAAATCCGGTGTATATTTATGTATTAACACTCGTTATGGAAGTATTAAAATATATCGGAGCGTTGCTATGATGTAGTCAATGAAAGTAAGATCACGAATAAATCTTTAGAATTTTTACCATCTTTTATGGTTTCGTTCTTGACACTTATTATCATAGGCACGTAATTAATATTTAGTTTAAACTTTTAATTGTATAAAGGCACGTGTAAATGTGTCACAAAATATTCAATATAAAGCTATCAATCAATTCATATCATCATGTATTAATGATATAATCACCCTCGCCCTAACATTTCACATCCCAGAGAAAGGTTTGATATTTTCCCGTTAATGACATTTCACTTTGATACAAAACATGGGATTTTTATGACAAATGGTAAACAATACAGGCCATCCTTTAACATGCAAGATGTACTTTAGTTGTTGGTTTTTCAAAATAAAATCACTGCCAGGAGCCAATTTAACTATAGAATGGAAAACAAACAGTGACAAGTTTTGGCCCTCGGCCTTAGTCCTCGGGCAATAAATCTCCAGTTCACACTGGGTGTTGAGAATCTGTGAAACAGACAAGGTAATAAATCAATGCCTGCAGAGTGTGAAAATTCTGTAAACAAAACATTGGTCAATAATGGATCATCTTGTCAAAAGAAGGCTCTTCATCTTTTGATGACAAGGGGCTTAAAATTAAAAACTTTGAAAGAAAAGAAAAAACGTATAGAAAATTAACTATAAACCCACATACACTTGTAAAGATAGTTCAAAATATTAAGTTCATATTTTGTTTCTTATATTCAATGTAATAATTTACTGACATGTTTAAAGTACTGATCAACATGTAGAATATATAATGATAGAATTATTCCCATCTTCACTGTGACATTCAAAGTTTCTACATGCATGTACAGGTATCTAAAATGAGTGATTTTCCCCAATACTGCTAAATTGTTGGCCAAAGTAACAGAATCCACAATTTTATAAATTGTCAGACAGATAAATTTTAGAAAGAACATAACTTCTTTTAAAAATTAAAACAGAACCTTGTTTCCAAATAAATGCACGTTTTTTGATCATAAAATCTAAATAATTTTAAGGTTAACTTCATTAGGAGGTTAACTGACAATTTTCAGAGCCTTGCTTATATATCTCTCCTTTACTGGTTTTTATTTGAAAATTGATATGTACTATAGTCATTTCGTGTACTTATTTTAATTTTCAAATATTTAAATCAATAAAAAAAAAAATACACGTAAACATGACCACAGATCATTACTTGTATTGTATGGACTCTAGTGACAACAAGATATTGATAATAGCTTTTTTTATCAATCACATATCAACAGTAATTAATCAAACATTTTGCTGGATCAAAGAATCAAAATTGATGTTTTATTTTAAGTTTACAGTATAATATCAAGAGATGAATTCCTAGACAAATAAATCAACACATTATCAGAGAACATCAATGCATTTATCATGTTCTTTTGTTCGGCAACCGAGATAATTCGTGTCAGCATTTATCTTTTACAAATTCTGTGGCATCAGATAAGGTTACCCGTTATGCCCGCCTTTGTCCATGCGTTGTTAGGATTGAACTGGAGGTGTTATGTTTGATCACTAATCTAGGCTTAAAAACACACGCTTAGCTGACCCCCCACAGTGTCTGTGGGGATTTCTTTCTTTTTTAACTTTGTTGGTGGGTGAGGTAACAGTACTGTGCAGATGTGTTACTGTCATACGTTACCGTTATCCTTCGAGAAACACCTGTGTCTATTTTAATCTTTTTGTCATGTTTTCAAAGTATGTAGATCGAATTCTTAAAATTTTCTATAGCAATATTCATTAATTGTTAAAAAGAAGAAAAAAATATCTCATGACTCTGAAATCAAAGATCAGGGACATATTTTTTTTGTCTTTTTGTACCTATCCGCTTACATTCTTTTTTGAGTAAACAACATAGATACCTCATATTTGATCAATAGACAACTTCCGTATTTTTTTTTTTTATATTAACCTTCAATAGGTCATAGCACGCGTTGTAATCATGCATTTGCTGGATGTGCAAAAATTAATTTCCGGTCCATTACTCTGTGGCGGAGAAACATTATAATGTAAAACTATATAAATAGTTGGCACAAAATATAGCTTATGACCCGTGGACCTGACAGTACCCAGATCTATATAAAGTCATTTAGATATTATTTATAAATAAATTTCACAAGGATCAGAAATGAGAGTAAAACCTTAACTTTGTGATGGAGAAAAGCAGATGCTTGAAATTTTATTCTTGACACGTGAGATATGACCCCAATCCAAGGCTACAGAACAAGGTGAAGGTCATGGATATCAGCAGAGTAACTGTCTGGAAAATAACTTTGAAAATATAAATAGTACGTAGAATGTCATTTTGAAAAGTTGTTTAGGTTCAGTTCATTGATTCATTCTCTCAAAACCGTTTTAAATATATGGTACATGAGGACGATGTGAAATATTAGAGTATACATAAATTAT